TATGCGTAGTATTTTTAGTATGGTTGGGTAGATTGTACGTTTGCATGCCTTGTAAGAGAATCCTTCTATACTGATTTGTGATCTGTGCTAAAAAATGTAAACCCATAAAAGAGAAGCGTTAATCGAAATTGTCGCTGTTCCAGTCGCCAGCCAATAACATTTCGGTATCGCACGCCTACAATTGGTCCACATGGCAAGTTTACGTGCGTTGATATGTATCTGATCAGACGGTTATCGTTAGGGTACAGTGGCAGCCACGTCAACATGTTTCAATTCTATCTTGGGTACGTCGTATGCCACGTGGCGTACTCCGGACACTTTCCGCGACTTTGAGGTTGGTTTGCTATATACCTGGTTAGGTGCGTCATAGTATTCAGCTTGTGCCAATAAAGTGGGAGAAAAGTTGCTTTGTAAGTCACTTCACCTGCCACGATTTTGGACCTTGGTTTATTTCTTGCGAGCAGAACGCAACCTTAAATTCACGAGGCATTAACTTCCATGTTGCTTTTGTTGACTACTATTGGGACTAGAAACCTCTAAGAACACCTTCAATACGCACTAGGTTATTCCCACCTTCAATCCACACTGGGTTATCCCCACGGGGTCACCTCCAAGGGTCCTCGGGTGCCTAGTAGAACCAGCCCCTAACCAAGGGTCCGTGTTTGTAGAGGGATTTCCCAGGTATGAAAGCGACCGTGTGCACTAGAGTGCTCCCAACCTCCGTTGCGCAGCGTTAAATGACTGTTTGGCTCGTGTGCAGATAGATCCCCTCACGTCAATACGATGATGGAGAATATTTCATTCATAAAAGGTTGATCACAAACAAACACAAGCAAAGTTATATACTAACCCACCAAAAGCAAAAGCTAACAGCCGTTGCGCCCAACTTGTTGCGATGTGCCTTGGGGATATGAGCCATTGCCATGCAGCCAAACACACGCAACATGTTGATGGGCGGCTTCCTCCCAAGCCACCTCTCCATGGGGACTCATGACTCACCACCAACGTTGGTGAACACCCTGTTTTTAACCACCGTGGCGTGGCGCACAGCATGTGGCCACTTTGGGTTCCCCAACCCCGACTCAGTGAGAAGTGTCCGTGCCGTTTCTAATACCGTGCGGTTTGCCCGTTCCGCTATGCCGTTGGACTGTGGTGTGTAAGAGGTGGTGATTTCTTGAATGATGCCCTGCTTCTTCATCCATGCAGTCAGCTCCTCCCCAATGAACTCCCCACCCCTATCAGTCCTAATCCGCTTCACCTTCTGCCCGGACTGTTTCTCCACCAACGGCAGCCATTCATCGCGTATGGTGGAAGGCACATGGTCCTTCTTCTTGATTGGGTAAGCCCAGGTGACTTGGCTCCAGCTCCAACGGTTTCATCCACGATGGTGAGGAAGTACCTCTCACCACGCTCCCCCACAACCAGTAGCGACTCCACCACATCGATATGCACCAGCTCCAACAGTTTCTTGCCGCCTCCCTCGGTTGCATGGAACGGGAACCGAGTGAACTTGCTTAGCAAGCAAGTCTCACATTTGTGGGTTGTTGCTGCACTTGTCAGCTTCAGTCCCTTAACCCCTTCTTCCTTTTGCAGTTGCTGCAGTGCGGTGAGCAGTCATCCAATCCGTCTCACCGCTCCTCACTGAAACCTTCAGCTCCTCTGCAGCTGCAGCATTGCACTCCCCCTCGGATCCAGCCTCCTTGCTCCATGTCATCACAGGAAGCTGCCACATGGAATTGCAGGTTTCACGGCTCTCGTGAAGGTCCCACAGCACCCGCTTTCCCAGCTGCCCCGTGAATGTCTTAACTCTCTCGATGGAGGTGCTGACCCCGCACTTGCCTAGTTTCCTGAGGGAGACAAGGTTAGCTATAAGGTCAGGGACAAGAAGCACGTCACTTAGCACCACTGGTTTGCCATCGGCTCCTTTAAATGCAGCACGTCCCACCCCCGTCACCTTGAGAGCGTGCCCGGATGCCGACTTCACCTTCGCAATCGGTGCAATCCCCACTTTGTCAAGGAGGTCGGCCCTTGGAGTCATGGTCCATGCCGCTCCTATATCCGGAATCCACGTGTTGAGCGGGTGCAGCGGAGCTCCAGCATGGGCGACCACTGCATCCTCATGTGCCTCTCCAACGTGGAAGAACTGACTGACTTCCCTCTCCTTGTTTGGTCGGTTCATCATCGGCAACCACTCCGGCGCCGCTCCCATCTTGAGTCCTGTTGGAGGGGTTCTGCACTTAAACCACGGGTGGCCCACTTTCTCACAGTACCAGCACTTGCCCTCCATCCTCCCAGGTCCCCTTCCACCGCCTCTACCACCTCTGCCACCTCTGCCTCTGCTACGTCCTGCTCCTCTGCCACCTTGCTGGTTGGAGGGCTCCTCGTCCTTTGAAGCTCCTCTCCCAGTTCCTTGCCATTTCTTGCCTCCACCCCGTTTTCCTTCTTGCATGGCGTAGCTGCTGCTCCCCTCTTCACTTCCCCTCAACTAACGCCTCCGAAAGTCCTCCTCAAGAGTCTTAGTGCGGATCCACTCCAGGGTCCAGAGGCTTTGGTTTTGGGGAAGGCTAAGGCCGCTGGTGAAGATCATCCAAGACTCTGGCAGCAGCGACACCATCTTCACACACTTCGATTGTTCAGGGTAGGTGATGCTGGCAATGGCCAGTTTGGCGTAGAGGTCCCTGAGCTTATCTAGGACGGGCTGAACGGGTTCTCCTTCACTGAGACACAGAGTGGAGAGCTCTCTCTCAAGCATGAGGGTGGCTACAACCGAGGTTGGTGCATGAAGATCCTTGAGTACGGCCCACGCCTTGGGTTCGAACTCATCCTCAGGAAGTAGGTACATTATGTGCTGGCGTTGGGCGAGATCTAAGCTCTGAGAAAGAATATAGTATCCAGCTGATGAGCGTTCATCCAAATCGCCCTGAAGCTCCGGATTGCTAGAGCGTATTTCACTACCGATCATGACTTAGAGAGGTCCTATCTGCCGAAAATACTGTTGCATCTTCCAGGACCAGCCGTCGTACCCATCACCACTAAATTTGTCAACCGTGAAGTTCTTCAGCACTTCCCTTAGCAGCGGGCCCTGGTTCGTCCGTGCTCCCCTATGCGCGGATACTCCAGATTCCTAGCTACCACTGCTCGCGGGGGCTGAGTTTGTTTCTTCACCAGTCTCTCCCATCGTCGGGTACGTAAGAAACGACTAAGGACCAGCTCTGATACCACGTGTTCACTGATATAGCCTATGCGGAAGCGTTCAAACCTTCCCTACAAGCTTGAACTTAGCAACACTTAACTTTCCTTATTACCCTTCGAGTCTGACAACGTGTCACCACCCAGCCAAGAGCATAATCAAAATCATAAGGGAGTAGTTATGCGTCGTTCAGTTGTAGGATGAACGAACAGGTCAAGCAGCGTTTCGGCACCACCACGTTGACATTTCTACGCTCGTCAATACGTAGTAGTAGAATTTCAATAATAAAGGCGATATATCATTCATCAAACACACACAAGCAAAGATTTATATTAACGCTAACAAAAGCAAAAGCAATCAGCCCACCAAGATAATAGCTGGAACCATACTCCGGAATGACTGCATTTTTCCACGCGCGATTGATGGTGACATACTCGCTCACGCATAATTGTGCAGTCCATACTTGCCCACGGAATTCCATGACCTCGCGTCGATTTACGATCATGACAGTTCATGACCACAGGCGACAGTTCATGACCACAAGCGATTCACGAACCGTAAATGCCCAAACGTAAAGCACAGGAATGCGCACCTAACACATAACAAATTACCTTCAAACCGAATACTTCATTTACCTTTACCGCCTGCGAATAGGCGGTAGGTTGACGTGCAAAACGCATATTGCACTCAACAACTTTTTGCAGTTCTCTTTTTTCGCGATGGACCCATAGATTGCTCGTCTATACTACTATCTAAAGATGCGATGCACATGCACTTTGCATAGCTTTATCATTCCAACTCCGCACCCGCTCAGACAAATCAAAAAAATGCTTCTGCATTTGAATCGTGACCACTCATTCCCAACCTTGCTCTTTGTTTTGGACGCTCCATCTTTTGCCTTATTTTGTGCCTCCCCAGTTCATAGAGTTGGACTAGGAGACTGTGAAAGCTTGGCTCGATGAGCAGGGCCTGCAAATCGCGGACATTCATGAGGCGCGCGTCACCAACCACACCACGGTGGCCAAGATCTTGTGAGGTAGGCTCCAATTATAACATGAATTACCTTTCAGTAATCCAAGGCGAGATGGTTACTTGGAGTCAAACATGAGAAAGAAGTGCAAGTATAATAGCGAAGCATTCACACAGTGTATTCTCGCCAAATTGTTCTCGCACATAAAAGAAAAGAAAAAAACTTTTGGGAAATTTGGCATCATGCGAAGCACGGTAGAGAGTGGGATGGGAGAGGACAAGGACATTTCATGTCATTTCATTATTTTCTTGCACCTTCTGACATTGCCAACGCTGACATGGAGCATGAGAAGAAGTTATTGGAGCAGTGAAAACCTTGTTTGAAAAGGTGAGTGATGTGACGGTGCGGAAGAGGATGGTTGGGGTAAAAAGTTGTGAAGGGTCGAAACTCCTCTTTAAATAGTCACCCCTCTGATGCCTCTCTGTCGTAAAGCACGCTTCACAGACGGGCGTGCTGAGTGTTATGGCAATTCGTCCCCAACTCTACCTCCATGCATGCCTCTCTCCATGCATTGCTTTTCATAATGTAGAGTTACGGAACGAGCTGATCATGGAGATAGAGTTGGGGCGTTCAGCCGAGAAAGCGGCCGAGGAAGCGAGCCGGAGGAGAATGGAGGCGGAAATGGAGGTCGCTGCACTCAAGGGAGTTGTGGAGCGATTGCACGTGAGAGGGAGGGAGGCAGAGAGAGAAGGTACCTATGCTATGCCAATAAAAGGGCCCTTTGGGTCCATTCCTACTCCATCATTCTATTCTGGTGTGAGTTTTTTTCATTCTGATTGTCTATCCTTCATTCTTTCTCTCTCCCCCGCTCGTGTTCTCGCCCCGGTGCAGAAAATGGGGATTAGCGGAGCACATGAGCAAGGAGGAGGAGGTTCCAAAAGAGGTGGGGAAGGGTGGGAATGTTTGGATAGAGGTGGCGAAGGGGGAGCCTGGTGGGGAGGAGATTATATTTGGAAAGGGGGGAGGAGGGTGAGGGCAATGTGTGGGGAAGTGCGACAGGCGACAGGGTTGGGGAAGTGATCAGAGAGGGAGGGAGGGAATGGAGATGGGATGGGGGAGGCAAATGGGGAGGGGATGGGGCAGGCAATGGGGGAGGGGATCGGAGAGTGGATGGTTAAGGGGATGGGGGAGGGGAAGGGGGAGGGGATAGGACCGGGAATAGGGGAGGGGACAGTGGAAGGGTTGGGAGGGGGGAAAATAGAGGGGATGGGTAGGGGGATGGGGGAGGCGATTGTAGAAGGGATGGGTAAGGGGATGGGGGAGGGGATGGGGCAGAGAATGGGGGAGGGGATCATGACCCTCATTCTCTCCCGTTGCTTTTTCTTTTGGACGATCCATCATGTGCCTTGTTCCATGCCTGCCTTGTTCCATGCATCCCTTGTTCACAAAGTTAGATTGGAAGACTGTGAAAGCTTGACTCGAGGAGCACGGCTTGCAGATCGCGTACATCTATGAGGCGCGCGTCACCACTCACACCACGCTGGTCGAGATCTTGCGAAGTAGGTTCCAACTGAAACCTCGACTTACCTTTCCAGTCATCCAACACGAGATCGTTTGAGGAGGGTGGCAGCGGAAAGACCGCTTTATGAAAAACGAGTTTCTTTTCAGGTTTTACACTTCCAACTAAACTCCCCTTGCACCTTTCAGACTTGAACAACACGGACAAGAAGAATCGGATGAAGCTGTTGGAAACGCTGCTGATAGCAATCTCCGAGGAGGTGATATTTCCAAATTATTCGACAATCTCTGTCGTAGAACGCGCTGTGCGGACGAGCGTGCTATTCTGTCGTATGCATGACGTATATATATATAAACTTTCCTCCCCTGAGTCGTGCGGAAATGGCAGCGAATCTGTCGTAAGCACATGTAAAGAACAAAATAATGTGTATATTGAAGTCAAAATGTTGAACAGAATGTACAATATGATTCGAAAGAATACAACAAGGACGAACAATTGATGTATCAAATACAATGGATTTGCATGCATGTAACACATAAGATGGTGATAATGCTCATTCAATAACAACGTACACAGGGAAAGGAGAAGAAAAGTATAAAAGTATGTTTGACCAACAAAAATACTTTTAGATGCATCTTGAAGAACATATACTTTTAAATGTGTTTTAAAACAATTGCTTCAAACATGGTGAGTAAGTCTACCGTTTACCAAAATCATAAAATCAAATTCATCAACACCTCTGTAATGCCCTTGAAAACTGCTTACCTTTTTTAATGCAAACTTCATCTGATTGTTGAATGATCGCACCAATCGGTGTTGGACACAAAACAAGGGGTCTCTTACGTAGGCGGCGAATTTCCGCAATTACAATATAATCGGTTTTTATGCATGCTTCTGAAAAGCTTCGATGAAAGAGTCGAGTAGGACTGCGAACAGTTCCAACCGTTGACAATGATACGAAACGACAAATGATTTCTTCTAAGGAATGCTTGAAATAAAATTTTCGCGGGCTGGGGCCGCTGGTGTGGGCGCAGGTGCAGGCCCCCGGCCCGCATCCCCGGCCCTAGCCCTCATCCCCGCCTTGCGACCCCGCCCCTCTCCAACGGCCTGCACCCGCGCTCACACCAGCCTCCCCAGCCCGCTCCCACGCACCCGGCCTCCGGCCTGCTTCCGCAGACCAGCCCCCGACCCGCGCCCCCAGCCCCCGCCCGCGCCCTCGGCCGCGGCCCCGGCCTCGGCCCGCACCCCTGGCCCGCGCCCCCGGCCTGCGCCCGTGGGCCCAGCCCCGGCCGCCGCCCGCACCCCGTGCCCACGCCCCTAGCCCGCGCCCGGGGCCCCAGCTTCGGCCTCGGCCCGCCCCCGCGCCCCTGGCCCGGCACTGGCCACGCCCCTGGCCCCGGCCCGCGCCCGCATCCCCGGCCCCGGCCCGCGCCCGCATCCCCGGCCCGCGACTGCGCCCCCGGGCCGGGCCCGCACCCGCGCCCCTAAGCCCGCGCCCCCGGCCCCGGCCCGCGCCCGCGCCCCGGTCCCGGCCTCCGCCCCCGCCCCTTGTCTATTCTCTATCCGTCGTATCTAGGCGTCGTCGTTCCTCGTCGCGCGCACACACCGGGCATCCACTGCGGGGGTTAAACCGCAGGCTGGCAATCCACCGTATCCGGCAGTGGGCCCAGCTGTCGGCACGGTGATTGTTGTTCTTCGAGAGGAGCGTCTACACTAGTTACACTTCTATGCAATTCAGGAGAGATGTCAAAATATGTTATTCTTGTATAATTGCATGTCTAGCTAATAATGTAATATCACCTTATCTTGTCTTTAGGTGGTCTACCTCTAGCTAATAATGTAATATCACCCTATCTTGTCTTTAGGTGGTCTACTTCCTTTCACCACCTCCCCTTTCCAATAACTTCTACTAATGTTTTTGCAACCTTCTTCTCTCGGCCAACTCTCTATTCCCAAAACCCTAGACTCTTAAGCTATTATCTTGACTGACCCCTGCCCGGGCCCGCGCCCCTGCCCCCGGCCAGCGCCCCCTTCCGCGGCCCCCGCCCCCAGCCCCGACCGCTCGCTCCGAGATCAGCTTCTCAATGCTCAGGAGATCTGACATGCTGCCACTAAAGCGTCGTCTAGCTTGCACTTCAAAACATCTTGTGCGGCTGGAATCAAACCCTTGCCGCGATTGCTGATGATGGATGCCTCGTCACGGTGCAAAAATGGAGTGCAAAAATGATGTTATGTAAACATGCGCCTGTTTATTCCGTAATACATATGCTGTAGTATTACGTCGTGCATAAATGAAGTTGTAAAACATGCAAAAAGATAGATATAGTAAGACAAATATTGTGAGAGTACGACGGCTTATGCCAGCTATGCTTGCTTGCCTTTTGTCGGAAACCCTCCATCTGCCAGTCCTGCTCTGCTCTCTACTCTTCTACCTCAACCTCCCTCGCTATCTCCTTCTGCCCGCCGTGCCATGCGTCCTCCTCTTGTGATCTTTCTCCCCCCTTACTTCTCCCTTATCCCCCTTTCTTGTACTCTACCCCACCTTCTGCTTTCCCTTGTCCTTGCTGATTGGTTCCTCGGACCCTCCTTATGTTAAGCCTCCTCCTAACTTATCTCGACTGCGGTCATGGCTCCGTGTTAGAACTGCGTATCATGAGGAAATTTGCAGTAATTCACGAAAACAAACACGCAGTGGCAGTCCCATGGCCCAAGGCCCTGCCTTATGCTTCCCTCACAACCCTAGCAAGGCTAGTCTAACACAATGTCTATTGGTGGACTAGCTCGGCCGCCATCCATGCTGCTAACCTGCCTGCCTTCCAGCTGGCTTCTCGGCTCCCAGCTTTGCCTTGGACTCGGTGTCTGCAAGAGAAAACAAACAAACCCCCATGCACACCATACCCTACCACATTCTCATACTATGCACACGTCATCTCGCTGCCAACCCTGCCAGCGCCCCTTCCAGAGCCCAGATTCGCCGCCTGCTCGTCTTCCGAATGCTCTCTGCCATCCCCTCTGTTGCCTGGCCGCCCCACCCTTCCGCTGACTTTACAGTTCCTTGCTGCAGGGACTCTCGGTATATACAAATGTACAGTCCGCCAAATGCTTCCAATCCTCCTCACTACACCCTTTGTCTGAAATCCTTCGGCCAAAACCTTAGGATTCTGACAGCTGTCGGAAACCCTCCATCTGCCAGTCCTGCTCTGATCTCTACTCTTCTAACTCAACCTCCCTTGCTCTCTCCTTCTGCCCGCCGTGCCATGCGTCCTCCTCTTGTGATCTTTCTCCCCCCTTACTTCTCCCTTATCCCCCTTTCTTGTACTCTACCCCACCTTCTGCTTTCCTTTGTACTTGCTGATTGCTTCCTCGGACCCTCCTTGACCCCTCCCATGACGCAATGCAGCCGTCCTCGCGCGTGTCATGGGACCCTGAGGTCCGCCCTTCTCCTTCTCCGGGCCACGTTGGTCACGTGGCCCGCCACCCGCTTTCCTTTCCCGTCCTCCAGCACGATCACCCCTGACGGGTGAACCTCCTTCACGGTCCAGCGCTGCTGGGAGAGCCCCACATCGTGCGCGTGCTTGCGTTGCCTCCTGAGGTACACCTCCTCCTCCTCTCATACTCCTGCTGCCGCTCCCTTTCCATTTGCCTCCTGCCTTCGTTTGTACCGCTTGATGTCCCTCAGCTGTGCAACGTGCAAGTTCTCCAGTGCCGCTGGCAGCAGATGTCTCAGGTACGCCGCCCGCGCATCCGCCACTGCCACCCATTTCTCGGGCGAGCCCGTAGTGACCACATCCACCAGCAGCTTTGGCGCTCCCACTGGCAGCACTGGTTCCTTGCCGAACAAAAGGTAGTATGGTGAAACGTCCTTCAGCGCCGCCTGCTTGCTGAAACGGTATCCCGCCATGAACCAGCAGAGCTTTTTGTCCCAGTCCCTCTTGTGTTCCTCATCGTAGGCTCTCAGCCCCCGCTTCACTGTCTGCACCAGCCTTTCCGTCAGTCCGTCACTTTGCGGGTGATAACGTGAGGTGGTTCTGTGCCGGATGCCGCTGGCCTGTAGCAGCTGATCAAAGGCCCCTGTGAATTCGGTTCCCTGATCCGTCAGTACCTCCCCGCATGCCCCCAGCCTGGTTATCACCATCTCCTCAAACGCCTCCGCCACGACTTCCGCTGACTTGTTCACTAGCGGCCTTGCTTCTGCCCACTTGCTGACATGCTCCACCATGAGGAGTATGTATCGCCGCCCCTTTGTGGTGACCGGCAGCTCACCCGCTTGTTATAGTCTGCAGTCCACTTAGGGGTCGCGGATGCCCATGAAACCGCCTAAGCAGAATCTGACGTCTTCAAACCGCCTCTGTTCAAAACGCCGTCACGATCAGCTCCGAGAACATACGAGGCTGAAACTTGGACAGCGGTTAGCCTTAGGTGTCTGCTTTCCAACGGTATATTACTTGCTATTATCAGAGGTGTGTGCACTACGCAGTGAACGAAAACGTAAGCTCGGCTGAAAAAACGTGTATTCTCATTGATGCAAGGAAGAGGTGAGTACAACATTGCCTAGGGGACTCATAAGGGGTTGGGTCATCCTGGGAACTCAGAGAAGGTTGAGTCCTAGGGGAGAAAGGCTAGAGAAGAATGGGAAACGTCCTAGCTAGGTCAGCAAAGCCAACCACACTTGGATGTTCAGAGCTGTACTCAAGGCTACCAATAGTGAGTCAAGCCAACATGAGTCAGCTTGTCTTCCCACTTGCACCCTCTTGCAAGTTGCTTCCAGGAAGACCACACTTCTCAAAAGGAGGGTTATAGAGTCCCACTTGACCACCTGTACTTCTTGTCTCATTCTCTGTCCCT